CCGTGGCTTTGTATCACTAATTGAATTGATCCGCAAAATAACAATACATACAACAGATCGGATCCATAAATGGCAAACACAAACCCCGCGATCATATTGTGTAGTATATTAGGGGTTATGGCAGTCATCCTCTTAATGATAATCGCATACGTGTTTCGGTCGCAAATCAAGAAATGGTATTTCGAAAACTGTGTCCAAAAATCTGGTCAAAAAACGGGCCCAAAAACGGTTGGACAGCAAAAGAGTGTGCAAACGGGTCGGACACGAGTGAGGGTTCCGGGAGACCTATCTGTTGAGGAGGACTCCATTAGTGATCGGGAGCTGTCCATCAAAGCCAATCGCGCGTCAACTGAAGAGTTCATTCCCGGAGCTAACAAAGACCGCAAAAGTACAATACCTGATCCCGTGGGCAATGGCGGTGGCGGACACACCACTGAAGATTAAACCACAAGAATTTATTTATAATCTTTAGATTCTGTTTCTTATTTTTATATTTTGTTTCTTTATTTTCTTCGAACTATTGATTGTGTAGTTATTTGTCTTATAAATAGAAATGCTTATCAAATACTATATAAGTTTGCAAACTATTAAATTAATATTTTAGCACAAATTTATCACAAATAAATATTCAATTCTTTTAAACAAATCCTGTTTTGTATTTATTTAAAAAATTTATATCATTTGATCCATACATTACTTTAACTTTGATTATACCCCAAAATAACTCCAATTCACACACACTGTCCTACACTTCTCTAATATGATATTAGTAATATCATTGACCCTTTCCCACTATTTACTACCCCCGGGCTAATCCTTTTTAATCCATACTTCTGGTCACAAACAGGAAACTATAATCTATAATCCCTTCACACAAACACCAATCAATATTTTACTTCTGCATTTATTCTCAATGTGCTATCAATAAAGTTACATGTGTATATAAACTGTGAACCAATTGTGTCCGAACCAGTTATTACCGTTTTCAATACCCCAACAAAACGATCTAGCACTTCACTTGTGTAATTACATTTAATTTAAAACTTGATATAAATTACACATGTAAGTAAGTATTTTGTCTTATTTAACGATAATTACCATACAGCAATTGTAATTCATAGTAATTGTTAGTTTTAATTATTATGTTATGAATAATTTAGGTAAAATAAAACTTCTATTGACATAAGTGTTGTGACAAATATGGTAAACATAATAGGAAACCAATAAACAGTATACTATATGGTAAATGTTATTGATATACCTACACGTGCCAATCCGAGCCCAGCTGTGATCAACTAAATTATAATGACATTAATTAGTCTGACTTTAAAACTATTAACTGTCTCCACGTTTATATTGAGACGAGACACTGAAAACAAACTCATTACCAGACATCAGGTCTACAACAAAACCTATGACTTCATAGTGATCGGGTCGGGATCGGCGGGCGGACCCGTGGCCTACCGATTGGCCGCTACACCGAGCGTACGGGTGCTGCTGCTGGAGGCGGGTCCGGTCAACTCAGTGGTCAATGATATACCCATTGAATACGTAACATTGTTTCAGTCGGAATACGACTGGAATTACGCCGAAGAGACTGTCGGGCACCCAGACCGGAAGTTTCTGCCGGCGTAGGGTCTCTTATCCCCGGCTCACAACCCGCCGAGCAGGAGATAGTTGCGGTACTAGATATTATCTCCGGTAGCGGTCTGCAAACTGCTGACGAGCCGTGAGTTCGGCGCTCAGGGATGGAGTTATCCAGAAGTGTTGCCGTACTTTAAGAAGTTAGTGATCGTTGTCATCAAAAACAATGAGTTTTGGTTATTAACAGGTAATTTTGGTGAACAGGTTTGAGAACAATACGGATCCGGCGATAGTGTTGGCAAATCCCAAGTATCACAGCACACAGGGATTGGTGGAAATCACTTCATGGCCGGAACCGGTTGATGGTATCATTGATATACACCAGAAAGCGCTCAACGCATGGGGCGTACAGAATACCGATATTAATGGTCCCGTCCAGAGGGGAACCGCTATCGCACAGGCGTTCATCGATAGCCGGGGCCGTCGCACGAGTACAGCCAATGCCTACTTAAATCCCAACCCATTTCCGGCAAATCTGCACATTTCCACCGACTCTTTAGTCACTAAAGTCTTGTTCAATGGTCTGACCGCTCGCGGCGTCGAGTTTGTCAAAAATGGTCGCAAGCCAATGCCTACTTGAATCCCAACCCATTTCCGGCAAATCTGGACATTTCCACCGACTCTTTAGTCACTAAAGTCTTGTTCAATGGTCTGACCGCTCGCGGCGTCGAGTTTGTCAAAAATGGTCGCACATATCGTGTCAATACCAGACGGGAAGTCATTGTCAGCGCAGGTAATGTATCCATCACTTTGTATTACAACATGTTATAACTTGTATATAACGGGGTTTTGTAGGAGCGGTGAACACACCTCAGCTATTGATGCTGTCGGGCGTCGGCCCAAGGGATCAATTGACAGCGTTTGGCATACCTGTGGTCGCGGATCTGCCGGTTGGCCACAATCTTCAGAATCACGCGGCGCTCGACATTAACTTTTTGATCAAAGACCAGTTCAAGCATTTGGTGAATAGCGGCGACTCTGACCTCAATGTGGATAAGCTGTACGAGTATTTCGTCAATAATACGGGAGAGTTAACCAAATATTACAACTCTATCACATATTTGAACACTAAATCCAACGCTAATCCGGACTTTCCAAACGTGGCCTTCGAGACAGCGCTCCTGAAGTACCCGAAAGATCCTTCAAAAGTATAAATCAATGACTTAATCAGTTATTAACGGATCAAATAAAGTGATACTTGACATACAGGTAACAGTTGTGGAGTTCGGGCCTCTGAAAGACGAGTGGAACCGCTATTACAGCGAATATTTGGACAAAAATTTCTTCTTCGTGCAGCCAATCCTAGAAAGGGTCCGCAGTTATGGCTACGTTCGGCTTCAGTCCAGCGATCCGTCTGTTTATCCCATAATTAACTCAAACTTCTTATCACATCCGCTGGACTTCGAGGACTTCGTCCACATAACAAAGTTTGTGTTTCGCTTCTTCGAGAAGTCGGCCATCTCTTCGTACGTGAAACGAGCGAAACCAATACCTGGCTGTCGGATGTGTCCCGGAGTGCGGTTCACTCACGAGTGCGATCCGTACATACGGTGTCTCATCCGACAGATCACATACACGGGCTATCATTTGGTGGGCACGTGTCGTATGGGCGCCGCCGACAGACCGGACACTGTTGTGGATCCGCGACTTCGGGTGAAAGGTGTGCGCGGACTGAGAGTATGCGACGCCTCTATTATGCCGACCATTACTAACGGCAACACAAATGCGCCCACAATTATGATCGGCGAGAAGTGCGCGGATCTCATCAAACAAGATAACGCACTCCCGATGTAGGGCTGAAGAGTGTATCGATAGTGTGTTGTTTAGTAGTTATTTTTAATACACTTAAATTAAATTTAAGCCTAAATTATTTTTGGATCATTAGTTGTATTTGTTTGGAATCATTAATAAATTACAAATTATAAAAAGTATTAAAAACTTGTAAACTATTAAAAAAGTTTTAATACTTTTTAATTTTGGACACAAGAATGAAGGAAACATTTTTGTTCGTGTATTTGATGCCATTTAAAGGGAAATGAAGACATTCTCAACAATTAAGTGATTAAATGGATAATTAATTTAATTTGAAAGTAAAATAATCAAATTATAATTAATTTCAAATAAATTTATTAATCAAATCACTAGAAATGTGTTAAAAATAATTATTAAAACATTATTAATGATAACATTTTCCCCCAAAGTTTAGTCACATTTTGGTAAGCATTGCGTCAATGAAATTAAATCAAATTTTTGAGTTAAAAGCAATTGATTTTTGTAATCAAACAAAAAGTTTGTTAAAAATCTGTTTTAAAAGACTAAGAAATGCCGGGAATCGATAGCAACAGATTTGTTGGTCTCGAAGAATGGTTGTCTGAAGAGTTAACATGTTTCTTATGTCTGGAAGTGTTGGATAACGCGGTGGACATTGAGTGCGGACACACTTTCTGCAAGAGTTGCATCACTTCTGCCATTGAAGACAAGAATCGTTTTGTTTGTCCGGAGTGTCGACACGAGTCCACAATCGCCGCCAATGAAGACAATGAATGGCAACTGAAGACAAGC